TACACGTTATAGTACTCAAACAAGCTCTTATTGGATACCCCGGCTCTTCACCCATCCATTCAGCAACACACGTACAAGTTCATCAACGACGTGATCCAGCGACGATCCAAGCCAGTCGAAGACCGGAGCAGCTTCACACTCCTACTAACCCATCTTCCACTCCACAAAAGCGAAGGGATCTGTATCGATGCTCCCTATTTCCGCTTCTACGACCAGGACGATCCAAAGCCGCCACAGGAACATGAACCAAGGTATAAAGCTGGGGGCTTGCGGGAGCAGAACCATCTGAGCCAGCATGCCAGTCATTCAGGAATACTTCAGGGGTTGTTCGGTATGAGCGGGAGCCCAAATGCTCCCGCTGGGGGGATGGGCCGGAACGGTCTTGTGTTAACCGGCCACGATCATGTTGGGTGTGACGTTCTGCACTTTGTCAATCGATCTGCGACACCAGCAGATGATCCGGAGGGGGCCATGTCACCGGGCTGGTCGTGGGATGCGACAAGATATGCTAGAAGCCGCTCCTCTCCCTCTTCGCTCTCATCACCGTTGCCAGCTGATACGCCTAATATTAGAGAGGTTACCCTTCGCTCGATGATGGGAGCATATGGCGGCAATGCGGGCTTCCTTTCTTTGTGGTTCGACTCTGATCCTTCCGTGCAGGAATGGAGATATGAGATTTCCACTTGCCGGTTTGGCGTGCAGCATATGTGGTGGGCCACCCATATTATTGCGATTGTGACGGCCGTTCTCTTTGTAGTCTCTGCGACGTTGGGTGTCTGGGGTTGGATGTTTGGTCAAGTGGCTGCGGGATCGAATGCAAAGGGGGTCAAGGGTGAGGCCCTGGCTAGTAAAAGAGCTGACTTAGTGAAGAGGACGCAGGATGCGAAAACACGAACTACTAACTCGGGGAGACGCGATGGTCCCAGAGAGGATTTGAAGCGGAACGCAAATGATAAATGAAGATTCTGAGCTATTATTTTTATGAAAGTATTGTGCTCATGCATTTATTTCTTGGGATAATCGCTTATTTCCTTACTTGACTTTAATCTTAGCGCAAGAGCCATATATAATAATACCAAGCACTCTGTCCTAATTAGCATCATAGCGAGAGGGAGGGCCATTGGAGCTTGTTTTCTAGTCCAGGGCCGATTTTATTGCCAATTTTTATTACATCTGTACAATGTATCTGACTTATTATCTCCTTGCCTTTGCATCTTCCTGTTGCTCACCTATGGCTTTTAGGAGTACGGAAGTAAGAAAAATGGAACTGATCCTCCTGAGCAAGTTCTCTGATGGCAATTTGACATCAGGCTTGTTACTTTGTCCGTGGCTTTGCGCAGGTTGCCCAAATAATGAATAAACTTCCAGTGATATTCACAACCATGGCATTGTGAAAGGGGGTCATAGGCTAAATACAACATTTGAGGTTCCGTGGGAAGGGAGTCTCTCGAACTCTTCCTTGATTCCCCCGCCAGAAACCAGAAAAGGCTACTCCAGAATTCACATTCAGTGTATTGTTCATCTCATCGATGACTACACTTGGCCGTGTTATTTTGTTTGGTGTTGCATTTGCTTCTACGGAGAATTATGTCGGGAACAGACGGAATGAAAAAAATGTTCAATAGGGATAAAAAGCAAGCAAAAGGAAAAAAAAAAAAAAAAAAAAAAAATAGATATATTTGGTTAAACAAATTTTGCGTATCGCATAAAAAAGAACGTTGAACGCCTTGTAGAAGAATGATTTGCTTTCATTTTCTATATCAACAACACCCCTCACCATTTTACACGACGACTCCAGAGTTAGCTGCGATACGCTGTGATACATGTTAGTGTGCATCTCTCATAAGAAAGTACGGGGGACGCCTATTGTTGCGTACCGGCCAGAGGTCCGTAGCTTCCTTTCCAATAGGACCAGTGATGGCTGAGCCCTTCATTTCACCCTTTGCGTTGACGATCTGCAAAATTAGACATATTAGTATTCAGGACTACCAAACAAAGATGATATCCTATTTTTCGGCTTGCAATATATCTGCATCGGGGCCTTAAAATATTCAATTTGCGAAGCAGACGCAGCTCGTCCCAGTCCCAAAAAAACCTCATCCTTGTCCTGGGCTAGGACAAAACGACCAAGAAAGGAAGCATTATATAAGAAAGGAAGCATTATATATACAGGTGGAAAAAAAGCACTCACCACACCAGCATTATCCTCAAAGTATAGATAAATGCCATCCGCCCGTCGCCATGGCTTGCTCTGTCTGACAACAACAGCAGGCATGACTTTCTTCCTCAGCTCGGGTTTACCCTTCTTGACCGTGGCCATGACCATATCGCCAACGCCTGCAGCTGGGAGACGGTTGAGACGGGCTCCGATGCCCTTGACGGAAATGATGTAGATGTTTCGCGCACCGGAGTTATCGCAGCAGTTCATCACGGCGCCGCTATGGGAGACAAATTTTGGTCAGTATAGAAACTTAGCCTTATAATTTGCATTGCATCCCCGCTCGTTTGTGTTTGATTGTTCGACGATTCGATGATGGGCGTTTTGGGTAGGCAGCGACATCATTTTTCCCGATAGGAACTGGGGAATGAAACAAGGGGTACTTTTCATGGGAAAACGTACACTGGCAGACCGAGAGTCATCTTCAACTTGTTACCGGCGGCGCCGCCACGACTATACAAAACAGCAAGAATAATATCAGTTAAATCGTATTCACCAATTCAGGAACCCTGGTCTTCAATTAAAGGTTCTCCCCAAGCGACCCTGTTCGACCCCTAAAAACATCAATTCGCGCTTTTGTCCCCCCTCCTGTTTTGTTTGGCAACGTCCCCTAATCTCATCCATCTTCCCCTCGCTTTCCGCCATTATGTTCCTTCTTCCTCTTTCCCTCCGTCCACCCCTCCTCACCCTCACCCTCACAATCAAATCAAAATAACGAAGTGGGTTTTCATCAAGCTTACCCTCTTTTCGACATGATGCTAGATTATGCAGTTTGTGCGTAGCTCGAAAATAGCAACGGGTGGTGGTGGATTTGGCGACGGACACGGTCGAGAGTGGGCTGTTGTCGTCTCTGTGTGTCGTCGTTTCGAGGCTTCGATATTTTGTGTTGTCTCCAGCCAGAACAGTGTTCACAATGCTTTTCGCTTAGTGTGGGCTAGAAATCTTGGCGACGCATTGGCCGGGAAATCTGGCGCACTAATCAACTCCACGTGACTTGCCCTAAGACTAAGTCGGTTTGGGAAACCAGGTTTAGGCTTCATAATCATTGTTCAAGGGACACGTAAAAATACAAATATAGTTCTACAAAAGGTGCGAAAATGGCCAAAAAAAAAAAAAAAATAAAAAAAATTAAAAAAAAAAAAAGAAGGCCGAAGCATGTTGAAAGGATGAGGAAGGCTGGTAGGTGCGATACGCCTTTTGAATATAACCAGGCATGGTACGATGAGATATGAGAAAACAGACTAAATCAAAAACAAACACAACAGAAATGCCTTCCAAATTTGACGCCCAGAGCGCCTGAGCCTGAGCCAATGAACTGAGTATGGAGCAAACAAGAATTTTGTCGCAGGGCAAGTCATGTTATATTATGTATAGTCCCTGTCCCACTAACATACTTGCAACTTATGCTTGTAGCTGTTGTTCATCATCCTTCTCCTCTTGCTTCAAAGGCCTCCCTTTCGTAATCGCGGTGGTTGATTCTGTGTTCGTGCCTGCATTTGTTTCCGATGGCCCCGATGGCCCTTCTGGAGCTGAAGAGAATTGCAACAGTTCAGCAGGAGCCGCTTGAGGAGCTTCTACTGCTGGTGATTTTGGTGGTGTTGTTCTTCGTGGCTCTTCTTCAGGTACATTTCGTACCTCTGGGACGGCAGTGGCGGTACTGGTGGTAGGGTCTTCGGGTGGTGCATCTTCCATCGTTGTGTCCATATCGGCAGTAGCTTCCCGTGCGATTGATTCACGAGTTGATAGAGGTACAGACTCCGACGGTTCCTCCTCCCCCGCAGCGCCAGGAGCGGCAGAAACTTCATTGCGCTCGCTGATGGATATATCATCCGCATCCATTCTTGACTCCGATCGTGTCGCAGGTTCTTCAGGAGACGGGGTTCCCTTGTCTTGTGCCTCAGCTTCGGCTTCGGCTTCGGCTTCAGCTTCTTCGGCAATCTCCATTTTCTCATCAAGGCCGGCGTCTTCATCTGGCAACGATGATTCTTCCCGAGGAGTAACCAGGCCACTGTCAACGCCAGAATCACCACCGTCGAGATTTCGATAGTTGACCTGGTTCCGACGCTTGATAATTCCGGGTTGCGGCCGGATGCCGTTCGCAGCCTGTTCATCCTCATCTTCGCTGTCACTTAGCTCGCCCTCCTTCTCGATGTACTGGTCAAACCGCCGTTTGGTAAACCTGCTATCCTTATTCTCATCCTCATCCAGATCGTCCCAGAATGGCGTCGGCTTCATCATCTATGCCATCAATTAGTGGGCCCGCGTGGGACGTCCGTCATCTGCACGGATGGGGCGAAAGCGGTCCGCTTTAGATTTTCAATAACCTGCATTCGGATCTTGTCGAGGTACTCTTTGGGAATTGGCATTATCCATGTTCGACGGGCGAACGTCAAGTTCGTAATCAGGAGAAAAGTACTGCTGTAGCATTAGCTTGA